AACAGCACCAAAACGCACCCTGCGACCCCACACCACCTTCCTCCTCCGGCCCAAACCACCCACCAACCGTGGACCCTTCCCTGGCCGGTCAAGAAAAACCGTGCTGCTGCGAAGGGATGCCATTCTTCATGGCGGTCACCACAGGGTACCACAATTTGCTTTGCGCCTGGCGACCACACGGCGAAGCTTCGCGGCGAAGCGTTGCGGGGGGTGCGGGGCACACGCCAAAGGAAGTGGCGACTCAAAAGTGCGCAGCTGACAAGAAGGAGCTTGTTATGTGGCTAGGTCTCCAAGCATGGGTGAAGGGCGACTGGGTTCCTGTCTTCACAGCACGGCCAGTTTATTCCATCTGAGTGGGGCATTCCGGCACCAATTCCGTGGAAGTTGAACAAGGTCTTAGGGTTTAGGGTTAGTAAAAATGACACTTGACTCCCTCGACCTGTTCTTCTTTCGCGGAAAAAGAACAATTCCCAAAAAAACGGGTAGGAAAAACGATGAAAAACGTCTACAAACCTGCAGGTGATCCATGTCTACAAACCTGGGTAGGATACCAGGATTTTTTGGTGTTTCACCACCAAAAACCGAACACCAGGAACCTGAAGGCTTCTGTGACCAACCTTCCGGAACCCCCTTAGTCCGCTACACCGGTCGCCTGGATCGCTTCAGCCAGGCTGCGCCGCGGCGGGGGCACACTGGGCGCGGTCGGACGGCGCATCGCATGGCCGCGGTGTAGACCATCAGCGGTTCCGGGGGGTTCGAAGCAGGGTGGGAGAGAGCGGAGAGCAGTTTCGAAGCTTCTTGACATCAAAGAGACCCAGTTTCTTGAGGCACCTCCAGAGTCGAAGGCATTTGTCAACGAGGAGGTTTCTGTTTGTCAGGGGCCTTCTACTCCAAGCAGAGGCCTTCTACAAGATACCCGCTCACAAGATACCTGACTCTGCACTGGAGTCTACAGGATAGTCTAATTAGTGTTCAAGAATGTTCAAACATTCAACTGCTCCCACTGACCCTGGGAAGAACGGATGTTTGTTCAACGAATGGGGAGAGACCCACCCAACCATATGCTGGGCTTGATCGAACAGACCTACGTTCAGTCGATCGCGTTTTTCTCCGCTCGGGGACTAGACCCAAGGACGCACTAGTGAAGTCGCTAAGCGACTCACCTGTGACTCTCCCTGAAATGATCATGAAAGTGGAATGAAAACCAGCTCTTTGTAAAGGATTTCATGGTCATCCATTTCGGGGCCATGCCATCCACGTAACCAGTGATTGTTCCAGGGAGTGTCGTCCATTTCTTTGACCTTTTGGATAGTCGGACGGTGGGTTGCTTTGATGTCCAAAGGGAGGACAATGACCAAGCATTGGAGTGAACCACACACCCGATTCGTGGGATTCGCCCGCCTCCCATGCAGAATTGCGTCAGTGGTTAAACCCCACGAAATCTGGAATCCTGTGGCACTGATGGGCGAAATCTTGCACCACATCATATCCCAAAACCAAATCATACCTGTTGGGTACCCTGGAATCCACAGTTGACAGTCCTCACTGGCCCATGGTGTTTTGTGCCTACCCCCTTTCCACTGAGTTGAAAGTGGAAACCTCCACCGAGATCACCTGAGATCACCTGAGTTGAAACCTCCATTTCTTCTGGCTTCGACCTTCCCATCCACACGCTGCTGTCCATCAGTCGCTGTCAATCCGACGGAGCAACCGCTCCCGTCGCAACGGAGAACCGATGCGCTTCAGCGGAGCTCACCTCTGTTGCTTCAGCAGATTGGCTTGCTTCATGAAGGGCTTGTCCGTGTCCTTAGAGCCACGGCACGGCAGCAGCTAGCGCCGCTAGCGGCTAGCGCCAGCGCTAGCTGCTAACCCGCGAGGGCCCCCAGTGCGCTCAACCAGCGCGGGAGCCTGTGGAGCGCCTCTCACTCGCCACGGAGGGAAGGGTCGGGAGCCTCTTTCTCCTGCAACAAAAAAGAAACGACTTGGTTTGATGGGACTGGCATCTAGATGTCGTGGCCTTATGCTTTGACTTCAGTGAAGAGAAGCAGCTGCGAAGCAGCTGCGATTTCTTCAACTCACGACCGAGAGAAGCAGCTCGTTTCGTGGAGGTTTTTTTTGGTGGGTTTCGGTCGTTGGAAGTCACACAACAACACACATCCGCAGGTGGAAGTCTCCTGTGGAAGGTCCTGGAATGTGTTTACATGTGTTTTGAATCGATTTTCCAATATGTTTCAAATGCCTCTTCATCCATAAAACCAGCCAAAAAGACAGAAACTTTGCATAGCTGGAGTTGCAGGATCCAAGTATTGCACTCCGTGCCAAATTATATGGCGTAGTCACTTAGGTTCAGGGCCCCGAAATATGCTCCTGTGCCCCTCTCACCTTAGCTTCATTCCTTGGAAAATGTGCTGTATCAACAAGAACAAATCAAGTTCATTGCACTTTCATCAGGGTGGAAAAAATGAGGCGGATCTCCACCTTCAGGAAGAGAATGCGATGGAGAAACGCACAAGAAGAGGCGTCCACTTGGACATCACTGCGCTAACAGCACCAGCCCGTCACAACCTGCGCCCCGGATGCGCTTCTATCGGCGAACCCAAACAGAAGCAGGGGCACGCTGAGCTCCAAGATCATTTTCCAGCCCTCCTTCTCGCGCAGGCAGATCTGGCAGGCCCGGGTGGAAGTCCACGAGGGAGATAGAAAGATCTGGAAGCGACCCGATTTTTCCGAAGGTCACAGCATTTGAAGGACCCTGAAACCACTGTCTTCCCACATGAGCATGAACCTGGCAAGTAAGCATCGCCCACCACAGTCTGGACCTGTCCAAGGCACTCAGTTCTCCCAAGTCATGAAGGGCTTCAGCAGTCTGGATGAACTCAAGTTTGGGGGGGAACCTGCCGGGAACCTGGGGAAACGAACTCAGTCAGATGGGGGAGGTGTCCAAGAAAGAAATGCAAACCTTGGTCAAAAATCAAAGACTCCCTATACAACTGTCCGTTCCCACGATCGAGGTCGTGGCTACCTGGCTCAACGCGATGATCTCACAGGCACCACGTCTGTCTCCCGTGTCTCTACCAGAGATGTTGATGAATCAAAACCTTCCAGTCTAAAAGATGTCCCATTCAGGTGGTGGGGTGCTTTGAGGAGGAAGTACTCTTTATATACCGTGGTTTCTAGAGGTTCGATGGCACGTTCGTTACCCCATAGAAGTTACCTTCAAAGAATTTGGAGGTCCATAGAAATCACCCAACCTTGGGGTCCATCCACCGGTCACCCGGTCACCACTCTCCGATCCGAACAGGTGGAGACGATCGATCGATCGATCTCCTCGCCTCGTCCTCTGTCACGTCGAGACTGTGGCAGTTATGCCGGTCTCCTGCCTGGCGACACAGATTGGATTTGATGATATCATTTCGATATATTTCGATCAATTATATATTCCAATCAATTTTAAGTTCTTTACTAGACCTGTTTTTAATCTATACCAATCATCTAGAATTCGTCTTAACCCTTTTGATCATTCTTCCACTCATTTTGATCCTGGTTTTTACTATTCTTCCCATCAGCCCATTGCTTTTTGGGCAACCGGAGACCGGAACGATCGCCCAGCAAGACGAATTCGATCGATGCGTTGACCGGCAGGTACGACAGCAGGGTACGACTCGTACCGAAGAACGGAGGAGGAGCATGCTCGGATGGCATGCTGGAGAAGCCAAAGAAACTGGCAGCGCTGCCCTGGCAGCGTTCCGACTTTCGCATCCTGGTCACACCGGTTCCACGGTTCCCAGGAAAGTCCAATCCCACCACCGGTAGCCGATGTTCATGATTGAACTCTGAAAGCCCAACCGTCAAAAGCGTTACAGCTCCAAAACAATTTGAGGACCACGAACGACCACGAACTGGAAGTCGTATAGTAGTATAGCAAAAGTGGTGCCTTCCAAAAAAATCTGAGGGCAACTGGCATATCCATCTGGGCCGATTGAAACCCCGCAGTGGTTCGAGGCTGTGCCTCAAAATAGGACCTTTAAAGACCAGGACCAGAACTCAAACTTCTCAAGTCCTATGACGTCTCTTTTCAAGAAGACCTCTTGGAGGTGGTTCTTCCTTGGGATGTGACTGTTTCTTCCTTTCCATGGTGTCCCTGCAGGTGCAGGGAGCTAAAATGCCTCTTCAAAACAATAAGTCAATGCCTCTTGGCATATGGGTGTGGGTCAACACCGGGATCCCTTGGCTAACCCGAGAAAAGGAACCTACCCTGGACTACTAGGAGGTCAACCTACCCCACTTGCAACAGCCACAAGTGGCAGAAACTCTCGCCTTCTTAGGTATGATCAAACCAGAGCCGCCCAGGAAGGTGTGGTTCTCAGGCATAGTCGCGTACCTCAAACCCAGGCCGCCGCGGCGGGAAGGGATCAGCCCCACATCAGGGAACCCTGGCCCCTGACGTCGCATGGAACACCTCCGGCCGGACACGGCCAGTGGTCCTGGTGCAGTCGTTTCAGTGGTCCCGGTCCCGGGATTCGTTTCGAACCTTTTCTTTCTGATCTACAAATGACTAGACTAGAAATGAAAGGATGGCAGTCCCCCAAGCGCTTGAGGCGCAGAAGAACGGAAAAAAAAAAGAAGGGAAAACGGCAGCACTCTTTTTGGTCACTGGCAGCCATGTTTCTTGTCCCCTGTGGAGATCACCCACGGTTGCCTCTCCTCCTCCTCCTGGAACTTGCACTCAAACCTTTGCAAACCCCAGGGAAGATCCATGTTCACAACCTCCGATCTCGGGCCCCAAACCACCAAACACTGAAGGGTGCTCGGCCAATTCAGCTGCCGTATCCCCTCAAGAGCCATCGACTCATCGTCAACTGGGCACTTTTGGATGCATCTCCAAGCCTCCTGCAGGTTAGCCACCTCATAGGCGTAGGACAAAGAAGTTGGTTCCTCTTGATCCTCTTGCAACAGCCCTTCTTGGGCCAGAGTCTTCGATAGTGAAAGCTTCTGAGAGCCTTTCATCACCACAACTCTTGCTCCAGCTTTCAGCGGAAGTCGATCGCGGATGATTCTTCGAAACCCAGAACCAGTCAGGGACTTGGGCACTCGGACCTGGAATCCATCTCCGCCCACACCCACCACCTAAATGTTCAGTTCTTCATCACCCAGTCGCTGCATCGAGTCTTTGCTAGGGCGTATGGCGTGAAGCCATGGCGTATGCAGTGCATGGCCCCTCGCCAGCAGTCAGAGACCAGAAACACTTCTAGACTCTATATAGTGTGAAGATGTTTCCATGAGCTCTTGGTACCATTCCACATCCCACGGCTCTTGGTTCGCCATGGTGGTTCTTCTTTCAAGTCAAGCAACATGTCTCGAGGTCAGGTCCCTGGAGGGAGGTCGAGTCGAGTTCCGGGACGTCCCACTGAGCCGAAACAGCCTGGGATGGTTTGGGGCCAAGCTATAACCAATGCCAGGTGTCCACGGTAAGAGCTAGAAGACCCATTTAAAAGGAATGCTCACGACTAGGAAACTCCAACTATATACCATGAACTCCTAAAGTCCCCAACTGCTTATCCTAACTTAGACTCTCTAACTTAGACTCTTGATCAATGAACCCCCAGACATGGGCAAATGTCTTCATGCGCAAAACTTTTTTAATCAAGAGTCTACATTGCCATGAAGTCCCCAACTGCTTGCTCTAGGAACCTTACCTTCCATTTTCTCCTTATCCATTCAACTATTGATTAATGGAACTCCCAAATGAAGAGGTTTTTTCAACCCAAGTAGGGGTTATTCATCAACTGTCTACGTCACCCCATGCCAGCCTCCAGCCAAGGCACAAGACCTCCGTACACCACGTTGAGAAGACCTGCCTCTTGGATGCCTTCACCGCCAACGCGGTGCCCGGCAGCAGCGACACCGTGGCCTCCTGCGTGGGGCACCTGGGCGAAGGTGTCGGCCACCGAAGCGGCACCCAGGAGCGGAACGTGGAGGTCTTCGTGTTCGTGTTGGATAGAACAGACCTACCGTAGACCTGGCCATGCCAGTCTTGGTCGCAAAAAGGAGAAGATGTTCGCTGATGACGAATTACTGTTTTGGTGATTCTTTAGTGTTGTCAATGCAACATTCTGAGATGGCAGCTATATATGCAGCTATGGTAGCTGGAAATGTTTGAGCTACCAAAAGCATGACACGTCCTCGACTGCCCACCGCAGTAGCACCGCAGTTGACGGAAGCAAACAAAGGGGGCGAGATGGCTTGCTTGTGCTCAGTGCATGGGTTTGGAGCCTAAAATCAAACCGCCATATGGTTCGTTTGATCGTCGTTTCCGATGGCATAGAGTCAGACATATTGGCCTAACGTCGTGGTCATACTATATAAGAAATCCCGTCGACGGTCTTGAAAACGATGCTCGAAGACGTTCGGTGACCCGATATTGAAAAATATCCTTCGAATTCACTTGATCCCCCCAACACAAAAATCGCCGAACTGGGAGGCCGTGCTTTTGGTTGTTCTTTCCCCACCAGCAGAGAGGGGCCTCTTTTCGGGCGTCCCCGTGGTCGGACGGCGCCGCGGTCAGGCTTCATCCCAGCGGCGTCAAGAGCTCGCAGGTGCCCCCCTCGAAGATCCTTCGCCCGAGCGCCGTGGGCCGCGTCTCGGCACCGCGCGGGTCTCCGGGCGTCTGGACCGGTGCGACGGTGAGAAGCGTTTTCCCACTTCGAATGGGGAGGAGCGGTGAGGACGGGGGACCAGCCAAATCGGCGACCCGAACGTCCCCGGACGGTGAGGACGGGGGCTCGTTCCGGAGCCACGAAGTCGTCCCTTCCAGTCGTCCCTTCCAGGCGCCCCACCCTCCGATCTGGGAGTCCAAAGGCCGGTCCTACCTGGACCTTCAAGGGGTGTCCAATGGAGGTCCCCTAGTAGTGTAGGGGCTTCCATTGGTGACCCCTTTGAAGGTGCTGGTATGACGTTGTGCAGCGGCAAAAAGGATGGGATTTGCGGCCCCTGTGCCATGTGCCACTTCCAGAACACTTCCAGGACATCCGTCGATGCCATGGGTCTTAACCTGATCTTTCTGCTGGGTCTGCAGGGTGTGTCAGGACACTACCCCCCCCTTTTCGCGGTGGTACCAAGCGCTCGAGCGACCTGAACCGACTACTAGGGACTATGTAGTATATATACAAAAAGTGATCTACTTGCTTCTTCAAAGTGAGCTTTTGATAACCTGGTTGGTTCGGTCACTTAAGCCTCCTAAGGGTCACTTAGGAACCTTCAAGAGGTCACTTTGAAGAAGCTGGGATCTATCTTCTTATGAAAGAAACCTTCGGACCTCTCCAGCCTTCAGCTGTGCCCATCGCTTCCTCGAGATGATCATCGCGCACGGATTCTGAGCTGCCGTTCACCCCTCTTGCTGGCTCGAAGAAACCGCGTTCCCCGCAAGGATCGGGCTCATGAAGGTGCTCATGAATTCATTCCATCCATTCCCCTTCCCATTCCAAGCGTCAAGGTATCCATCTCATACTCCAACATCGCCTGTTTGCATTCACTCAAATTGCCCATCGGCATCTGCGCTCGACCTGGTCCCCGTTTCGGCCACCCGGCCGTTTCGGCAACGCGACCTCGTTTCGGCACCGGCCGAGACGCAGGGCAGTCCGGGCGGACCAGGGAAGGAGCACGAGAACCATGGAACCGACACACGGATGTGTATTCAGAATGTCTGCCAAATGTCTGCCAACCTTGGCTGTTCTTTATGCATGAAAAGTTGGAAGATCCAGGTATATGGTAAACATCTTCATGGGAGCTTATAAGATCTTCACCTCTGGTATACAGGAAGCATCCGAAACCTCCTGACATCCTTATTTTTACAACATCCGGGAAACCCCCAAATATCTCTCACCCCGATCGCACTGGGTAGACTGGTCTATGTCCCGAACCTGGAAGGGCATTCCAACCACGTATTGATTTAACGGTTTTTTTGCAAACAACTTTGGTTTTGCTAAGGGTTTTAGACTCCAAAACCAGGTCCACCGAACTCCTTTTCATGGTTTCGAAAGCAGCGGCAAACGCGACGAAGGCGACCCCAAAAGCGCTAGCGCTGGGTCCCTCCCTCTCAGTCTGACAGTCCTTTTGCCCATCGCCGAGGAATTCTGTGAAGTCGTTTGGCCCTCCAAACTCCAAGCCCAAACTCATCGAACGCTTTTTGGGATCAGCAAAATCCACTGTCTGCCCTCCATTCTCTCAGATTTTTCCCGTCTTCCCAAAATTCCGGTCGCAGAAAGAGGGGGGGGAGTCCTTTGACTTCGGGGCACCCCACCTCCAAATAATACGGTTTAAGCGGTTTAAGGGTCTTTGGGTTTTCGGGTCAAAAGGGGTCCGAAGGTACCTGGTTTTTGATGGAGCGGATCCATCCCTTCGCTCGCGCACGACGAAGGCGTGGACGTCTCGTTCGCTCCGTCGGACCTAGTTTGCAATGCGGAGACCATTTGGAATAAGATATTGGCCACCACTGCTTTCGGCAGTCGCCCACTGTCCTCAGAGGGGGAGAGAAAAGGGGCACCTGGAAGGGAAAAGAGCCACAGAGAACAGGGAAGGAAGAAATCTACAGCCCAAGAAGTTCCAAGGGTTGGGCTGGCCTCCGGAAATTGCGCGGCATTCAGCGCACCTCGCCATGTGCTACCTCCCCTCCCCACTCGACCTCCACCCCACACGAGCACCTCTTGGTGCATCCTCTGGAGCTACTACTGCTGGGTTTGAAATCTGCGTGATCTATTACACTAGACGACGGGTGGCCCAGAGCAAGACATGTGATTGTCCAGCACTGTCGAAAAGATATATAGAAAGAGAGAAAGAAAGGGTGGACGTGAAGGAGTGACGCGAGAGATGACTCATCCGCGTACAGTTCTCAGCTTCCAGCTCCCCAAATACTCCGCGAACTCAAGTTGCACTACAAAGTCGCCAGTTCTCAGCTGCCAGCTCCACAGATTACTCCGCGTACTACAGTTGCACTACAAAGTCCACAGTCCCGCAGCGGGTTGCGCCGGACGGACACAAGTCGCACTCTCGCCTGCATTTCGCGCACTCGACACGCACGATCTCCGCAGAGGGTTGTCCCGGACCGGGTCCAATCGTACTCTCGCCTGCATTTCGTGCACTCGACACGCACGGTCTCCGCAGAGGGTTCTCCCGGACCGGGTCAAGTCGCACCCTCGCCTGCATTTCGCGCACTCGACACGCATGATCTCCGCAGAGGGTTGCGCCGGACAGACACAGATCCCACTCTCACCTGCACTTCGCGCACTCGACACGCACGATCTCCGCAGAGGGCTGTCCCGGACCTGCATTTCGCGCACTCGACACGCACGATCTCCGCAGAGCGCTGCGCCGAACAAATCCAAGTCGCAGTCTCGCCTGCACTTCGCGCACTCGACACGCACGATCTCCGCAGAGGGTCGCCCGCGACCGGGACAAATCGCACTCTCGCCTGCATTTCGCGCACTCGACACGCACGATCTCCGCAGAGGGTTGCCCCCGACCAGGACAAATCGCACTCTCACCTGCATTTCGCGCGCTCGACACGCACGATCTCCGCAGAGGGTTGCCCCCGACCGGGACAAATCGCACTCTCGCCTGCATTTCGCGCACTCGACACGCACGATCTCCGCAGAGGGTTGCGTTTCGTGGCGGTCCGGCGGCACTGCCCCCGGCCTTAAGAGAGAAAGTTAAGAAGAGCGAGAGGTGAAGATGTGAGATGTAGATGTGAGGATGTGAAGATGAGCAGAGATGTAGATGTGAGGATGTGAAGATGAGCAGAGATGTAGATGTGCAGATGTGAA